TGAGTAACCAATCCCTGAAAGACGACTTTCTCGACGAGCATATGATGCACATTGAACACGAAAAGACCAAAGAAGATGTATGGACTATGTTTTTCGATGGAACCTTAAATATGCTTGGGCACGGGATCAGAGCCATCTTGATATCCCCAGAAAAGAAATATATCCCGGTAACGGCCAAGTTAAACTTTAACTGTACAAATAATATGGCCGAATACGAAGCCTGTGCATTGGGAATCCAAGCAGCTATAGATCATGGGGTGACCAAACTTAGAGTTTTCGGTGATTCATTCCTTGTTATCTATCAACTCAAGGGTGAATGGGAAACCCGAAATTCTAAAGTAATCCCATATCTAGAGCACATTTGCAACTTGATTTTGAGGCTGGAAAGCGTTACTTTCGAGTATATCCTTAGGGAAGACAATCAATTCGCAGATGCCCTCACTACTTTATCACCCATGTTCTCTTTAGATCAAGAGCATGAGATACTGACTATTCAAATCAAGCTGCATGACAAACAAGCTTTTTGCATGACAGTAAATAGCGAGTAAGACAAAAACCCTTGGTATCACGACATTAAGCGATACCTCACAAAGGGTGAATATCCCGAAGGAATCAGTGATAATGGCAAAAGGACCATCCGAAAGAGAGCCACATGGTTTGCATTGATTGGAGAAACCCTTTATAAAAAGAATTTCGACTCCACTTTGTTAAGGTATGTGGATCACGAGGAAGCTCAAACTCTGATAAAGGAGATTCATAAAGGATCTTTTGGGACCCATGCGCCAGGGCATGTCATGGTAAAGAAGATCTTAAGGGCAGGGTATTTCTAATCCACAATGGAAGGCGACTGTCACCAATATGCTAAACGATGCCGCAAGTGCCAAATCTACGCCGATAATGTTCATGTCCCGTCTGCACCTTTCAATATATTGGCTACACCATGACCATTCTCCATGTGGGGCATGGACGTCATCGAACCCATCGAGCCCAAAGCATCGAATGGTCACCATTTTATCTTGGTGGCCATTGGCTATTTTACTAAATGGGTAGAGGCAGCATCCTATGCACACGTGACTAGGAAAGTGGTAACCACCTTCATCAAGAGGAATATTCTATCTCGGTATGGTATCCCTCATCGACTCATTACTAATAATGGGACCAACCTGAACAACAAGATGATGAAGGAGTTATGCCAAGATTTTAAGATTCAACATCACAATTCCTCTCCATACCGACCCAAAATGAACGGTGAAGTGCAGGCAGCCAACAAAAACATCAAAAAGATCATCCAAAAGATGGTGATAACATACAAGGATTGGCACGAAATGCTTCCCTTCACCCTACACGAATATCAGACTTCCGTACGGACCTCCACCAGAGCCACTCCGTTCTCCCTCGTATACGACATGGAGGTTGTATTGCTAATGGCAGTCGAAATACTCTCCCTAAGAGTCATTATGGAAACAAAGCTAACCGAAGCAGAATGGGTCTAGAATCGGTACGACCAGCTTAATTTGATCGAAGCAAACCGATTGGACGCCATATGTCATGGGCAGGCCTATCAAAAGAAGATCGAGAAGGCCTATGATAAGAAGATCAACCCCCGCACTTTTCCAGAAGGGGATTTAGTAATAGAGAAACTACTTCCCGCCCAGAAGGACAAACTTGGAAAATGGGCAGCAAACTACGCAGGACCCTTTGTGGTCAAGTAAACTTTCTCAGGAGGAGCCCTTATCCTCACTAACATGGAGGGAGAAGAGCTTCAGTACCCGGTCAACTTAGACGCGGTAAAGAAGTATTACGCTTGAAGACATTACTCATGACCCATCAGGATGAAAACTCGCAAAGAACGTCCTGGAAAAAATATAGGGTCCATATTCCTCGTTAGGACACGTCCTAGGCAAAATTTAAAGGTTCTTCTAAAAAAAAGAAAAACAAAAAGAGCAATGCGACTAAGGTATGTTAGAATCGCGTAGCGGAATGATCGCGCGGTCGGACAAAAACCAAGAGGGCGGTGAATTGGTTTCTTAATAAAAATTAGGTTTTCAAAATTTTCCCCAAATTTTACCGATTAAAAACTGTGTAAATGTAAATAGAGAAGGGATAGAAATCTTACACAGGAGATTTATACTAGTTCGGATCAAAAGACCCTACGTCCAGTTGCTAATCACTCAACAGAGGATTAACGTTGTCACTATAAACAAGTTGTTACAAACAGATTACAATTGAGAAGATAAAAATACGAAAACACCTCTCTTGAAATCCACAAGAGATGATGAACAGCTTTCCCTAGAGACGGCACAACACACAATCCACTAAGAACTCCACTTAGTGATTCTTATCACTTCTAGCCCACACCAGGTTCCAAAAGCCCCCTTTCCTTGCAACAAACAGTTCTCTGGCACTCACAGCACTTAACTTTTGTATGGAAAAGGTTGTTCATTTTTTTTCTGAGTGCCATAGAAGAGTTTAAGAAGAGAAATTAGGGTTTAGGAATTGGGGATTTCGAAACTAGGGTTCTTGGAAATAGGGTTTTCGCAAATAGGGTTGATTTGAAGTTTAAAATCAAAAACAGACTAAAATAATCGATTAAATGAAGTTATAATTGATTAAAACAGAGCCAAAATCAACAGAACCCAAAACCTCTCTGTTTTAATCGATTAAAAGGGGTTTTAATCGATTATCAGACCTGATAATCGATTATTTGGAGATTTAATCGATTAAAGCAGTGAGTTGATATAGAAAATGGTTTTTCTCACTGTTTTAATCGATTATTTCCCTATATAATCGATTAAAGCCGAGCCTGGATGATAAATTTGAGCTTTTTGAAGCTTCTAAGGTGCAGACTATGTACCGGCTATCTTAAACTCTAATATTACAGACTCAATCTAATTAAAACAGAGTTATTACAATACAAAACAAGTCTTCAACACACTAAGTCTTTGAGTTCTTGAATCATCATCAAAATCAACAATCTTCATGTTCATCAAGTGCAACATCAAGTCCTTGAATATTCAAGAAGGTAGTCCTTCAAGAAGCAAGCAAGCTTTGCATAGTCTTCACTCCGGGCTCGAGCATCTCAACTGAAGCAACTAGGAGAAACAGAGAGACAGATATTAGGGACATGATTGTTATAGCTTATACAGTGTAGCCAACCTTGTCCAACCATGCTTCTAAATCCCTTTGGAAACCCCTCTGTAAAAATAAACCATTTGTTTATATCAATAAAATTGTCTTTCATTTCATTTCTCTTGACCAAATTATGAAAATGCCTATATATTAATGAAACATAAGCATGCATCAAGAACCAGCATAAGAAAGCATAAGAAAAGAAAAGAAAAGAAAAATAAAGATAAAAAAGAATGATGCCTACTAGGAGATTCTTAGGCAAAAATTAGGGCAGCTTGCTAGATCGAAAACCCGCAAAGGGCAGTTTAGGCAAAAGTTAAGGCACTCATAAAAAAGAAAAAGCTCGCTAAGATATCCTAGGCAAAAATAACGCAACCCGCTAGATCGAAAACCCCAAAAGGGTGGTCTAGGCAAAAGATAGAGCTTAATAAAAAGAAAATGAATAAAAGAAGAGCCCATTAACATAATCATGAAAGTCCAGCAAGAGAATGCCAGTCACTTTTCTATATGCATCAAATTAAAATAGATTGCATCTAAGGCATCCACACAAGTAGTCGCACAAAACGATTTTGTCAAAATCAAAAAAACAAAAAAATAAAAATCGCCTCAGATAACTAGCAAAGAACGCATTCATATAGGGAGACTAGGCTCCATGTTTGTGATTGAAAAACAAAAAGCATCCTAAAAAGTTCCCTCCAAGAAAACAGGGACAAGACGTCACCAAACGGGCAGTTCAAAACAGAATAAAGCTCCCAAGCATTAACCACCATTCTCTCATCAAAGAGAGAAGGAAATCAAGTAAAACATCCGCCTGCTCAGAGGCATCACCAAAATAAACAAATCCCCAGCAGATTCCTGCCTATGTAAAAGGCGTTCACCAGAAATCCCCGACATCCAACAAAGTCGGATGACTATTACGATAAACAAAAGAGTCCCCAGCATCCAACCAGCTAGAGGAAGACCCACGAATTCCTGGCACATCGGAGGACTTCATCAGAAAAGTAAAAAACAAATTATCAAACAAAAAACACTCCCCACGAAGATGGCGCATGAGCCAGAGCAGTAAGCTGCCACCACAACTTCGTACCAAGGAAGGTCCCGAAGACAAAGACCTGCACACAGGCAATATCATTGTGCATGAACAAAATCAATAAGTCACACCAGTCCTACAAAGTGGACTTTCCAACAAGACGGGGGTTCGTACTCGTCAAACTAGATGAGGGTGCATACTCATCAAGCCTTACAAAAGGGGGCTTAAACCAGACTTTACAACTGAGGGGTCAGCTACCGCATCAAAGGAGCATCCTAAGGTTACAACAACCAGACGGGGGTTCGTACTTGTCGTCACCGTCAAAAGAGGCAGTCGGAGCGACGCGATGGTTTTGTTTGACTCACGTTTTTAAAAGTGTGGTTTAACGCCTTTAGGTTGTCCAATAACCGAGCTGGACCTAAGGGTGAGGTTTTTGAAAGGGTTCGAGGAGTCGCCACCAAAATTTTTACCAAAAACATTGGAAAAGGAAAAAGAAGGCGATGGTTTTTAAGAAACACCAACTTTGGTCATTACAACCAGAGTTAGGTAAGAGAGTTAGTTACGTGTAGGGAAGGTATTAACTTCCCTATGACGCCCCTTTCGGGTCCCCTATGATGGACTATTTTTATAGAGGAATAAGAACTTTAAAACTACGCTTTTACCCTTATTTATTCATTGCAAAAATTAAGTTATCGACTACATGGACCTTAATAACTAATGCACAAAGATATTATCTAAAAAGCAATAAAATATAGAAAGAGGTATGGAAGAACCTTCGAAGCAAGCTTTTATATAATACGTTCTTGAAAAGGGCACTTTTTGGCAAACCCCATGCTCTACAATGATGTTCGCTCTTTTTTCGCAGCACTTTAGAACGCTTTCTAAGAACTCTGGAAATGCTTCAAAGGGGTCCTATGAGAGTATTTTGAGAATTGTGCAGTAGGGAATGTTGTAGAATTGTGTGAAAATAGTGAGAAGGTCCCCCCTTTTTATAGGAATTCGCATCTGTCAGGTCGGGACCGTCGTCTTGCCTGACAAGGTCAGGACTGCCGTCTCGTCAAACGAGATGGCGGTCTCGCCTGCGGCAAGTGGCGAGACAACCATCTCACCAAACAAGACAGCGGTCTCGCCTTTGGCTAGTGGCGAGACGGTGGTCTCGCCTTTGGCTAGTGGCAAGACGGCGATCTCGCCTTTGGCTTGTGGCGAGATGGCGGTCTCGCAAAACGAGACAGTGGTCTCGCCAAACGAGACAGCAGTCTCGACCCTTTGGGTGAAATTTCTTATTTTTGGTGTACAAAAAGTCTTCATATTCTAATATGGGGCCTATTGATCAATCCTAGGGACCTTTTAGGCCTTTCCCATCTTCGAACGGAAGTCTTCTGCTCTTTATTTTGAGGTCGGACAAGATTTGGGGTCTACAGTACTCGTCAAACCATATGGGGGTGCGTACTCATTAAGCCTTACAAAAGGGGGCTTAAACTAGACTTTACAACCAAAGGGGTCAGCTACCACATCAAAGGAGCATCCCGGAGGATCACACTTAGTGTCCAGAAGGTCGGCTACCACGACAAGGGAAGCAACCAAAGGACAATCAGGCAAGAGGGTTAACTCCTTCAGCCTCCAGCCGATCTTTTTGGCATATTGAGCCAATAGTCGGCTAGTCAGGTGAAGGGGGGCAGCTGTAGACCCCAAATCTTGCCCGACCTCAAAATAAAGAGCAAAAGACTTTTGTTCGAAGATGGGCAAGGCCTTAAATGTCCCTAGGATTGATCAATAGGCTCCATACTAGAATAGGAAGGCTTTTTGTATACGAAAAATAAAAATTCACCCAAAGGGTCGAGACCGCCGTCTCGCCATTGGCTAAGGGCGAGACCGGTGTCCCGTTTGGTGAGACCGCCATCTCACCACTTGCCAAAGGCGAGACCACCGTCTCGTTTGGCGAGACCACCATCTTGCCATTTGCCAAAAGTAAGACGGCGGTCCCGAAAGTAGAGACGGCGGTCCCGACCTGATAGGTGAAAATTTTTATAAAAGGGGGGCATTCTCCTCGTTTTGAACACCTTCTACAACTTCTCCAACTACATACTCCTCAAAATACTCTTCTAGAACCCCTCTGAAGCATTTCCAGAGTCTTAGAGTTCTTAGAAAGCATTCTAAAGTGCTTTGAGAGAAGAGTGAGTTGCATTATAGATTGTGGGGTTTACTAAAAAGCGCCCTTTTCAAAAATATTTTATAAAAAAGCTTGCTTCGAAGGTTTTTTCATATCCCTTACTCTATTTTATCGCTTTTATTAGTTATTATCTATGTGCATTAGTTATTAAGGGTCATGTAGTCAATAATTTAAATTTTCCAATGAATAAATAAAGGTAAAAGTGTAGTTTTAATGTTCTTATTTCTTTATAAAAAATAGTCCATCATAGGGAACCCGAAAGAGGCGTCGTGGGGAAGCCAATACTTTCCCCACACGTAACTAACTCCCGTACCTAACTCTGGTTGTAATGACCAAAGTTGGTTTTTCTTAAAAACCATCGCCTTCTTTTCCTTTTCCAATGTTTTTGGTAAAAATATTGGTGGCGACTCCTCGAACCTTTTCGAAAACCTTGCCTTTAGGTCCAACCTAGTTATCGGACAACCTAAAGGCGTTGAACCACTTCTTTAAAAAATGCGAGTCAATAAAACCATCGCGTCACTCCGATGACCTCTTTTGACGGCGGCGATAGGGTCGTTTTAATATCTCCAGAAAAGAAGCAAATCCCAATTATAGCTAGGCTAAACTTTGATTACACAAACAATATGGTTGAGTATGAAGTTTGTGCCTTAGGTATCCAAGCAGCTCTAGATCACGGAGCGACCAAACTCAAAGTGTTTGGTGACTCATCCCTTGTTATCTATCAGCTCAAAGGGGAATGGGAAACCAGAAATTCCAAATTAATTCCATATCTAGAGTATATTCATAATTTGATTTCGAGGATGGAAAGTGTCACCTTGAAGTACATTTTCTCGGGAAGACAACCAATTTACCGATGCCCTCGCTACTTTGTCATCCATGTTCGCCTTAGATCAAGAACATGAAATGCCTATAATCCATATCAGGTTGCATGATAAACAGGCTTTCTGCATGGTAATAGACAACGAGGAAGACAAATCCCCTTGGTATCATGACATCAAGCGATACCTTGTAAAGGGCGAATATCCCGAGGGAATTAGCAATAACGACAAAAGGACCATTCATAAGAGAGCTATGGGGTTAACGTTAATAGGAGACACCCTCTACAAAAAGAATTTTGATTCCACTCTGCTAAGATGTGTGAACCAAGATGAAGCTCAAAATTTAATGAGAGAAGTCCATGAAGGAATCTTCAGGACCCATATAATAGGGCATGTCATGGTAAAGAAAATCCTAAGGGTAGGATACTTTTGGTCCACAATGGAAGTTGCTTGTTACCAATACGCCAAGAAATGCCACAAGTGCCAAATTTACACCGATAAGGTTCATGTCCCATCAACACCTCTTAATGTTTTGGCCGCACCATGGCCATTCGATATGTGGGGCATGGATGTTATTGGACCCATAGAACCCAAAGCGTCCAATGGTCATCGCTTCATCTTGGTGGCCATTGATTACTTTACCAAATGGGTGGAAGTGGTGTCTTTTGTTGAACATTCAAGGACTTGATGTTAGCATTGATGGACATGAAGCTTGTTGATTTTGATGATGATTCAAGAACACAAGACTTAAAGAGTTGAAGACTTGTTTTGTTGTGTAATAACTCTGTTTTGATTAGATTGAGTCTGTAATATTAGAGTTTGAGATAGCCGGTACATAGTCTGCACCTTAGAAGCTTCAAAAAGCTCAATTTTATCAAAGTGCCTCGGCTTTAATCGATTAAATGGTGAAATAATCGATTAAAACAGTGAGAAAAACCATTTTCTGTATCTGCTCACTGGTTTAATCGATTAACACACCTGTTAATCGATTAAAAGGCCTGTTAATCGATTAATAGGGCTTTTAATTGATTAAAACAGAGAGTTTTGGGGTTCTGTTGATTTTGGCTCTGTAATAATCGATTAACTCTTGATTTAATCGATTATTTCAATAAGATTTCGAATTTTAACTTCAAATCAACCCTATTTTCGAAAACCCTATTTCCAAGAACCCTAGTTTCGAAAATCCCAATTCCCAACCCTAATTTCTCTACTTAAGCTTCTCTATGGCACTCAGAAAAGTAGAACAACCCTTTTCATACAAAAGTTAAGTGTTGTGAGTGCCAGAGAACTGTTTGTTGCAAAAAAAAGGGGCTTTTGGAACCTGGTGTGGGCTAGAAGCGATAAGAATCACTAAGTGAAGTTCTTAGTGGATTGTGTGCTATGCCGTCTCTAGGGAAAGTTGTTCTTCATCTCTTGTGGATTTCAAGAGAGGTGTTTTCTTTACTTTATCTTTTCCATAGTAATTTGTTTGTAACAAACTTTGATTATAGTGACAGCGTTAATCCTCTGTTTGAGTGATTAGCAGCTGGACGTAGGGTCTTTTGATCCGAACCAGTATAAATCTCCTGTGTAAGACTCTATCTCTTTCTCTATTTACATTTACATAGTTTTTAATCGGTAAAATTTGGGGAAAATTTTGAAAACCTAATTTTTGTTAAGAAACCAATTCAAGTTTTTGTCTGACCACACAAACATTCCGCTGCGCGATTCTAACATCTTTTGCTCACGTGACCAAGAAAGTGGTAACCACCTTTGTCAAGAGGAATATCCTATGTCGCTATGACATCCCCATCGTATCATCACTGACAATGGGACTAACCTGAACAATAAGATGATGGAAGAACTTTGCTAGGACTTCAGGATTCAGCACCACAATTCCTCTCCTTATCAACCTAAAATGAATGGTGCAGTAGAGGCAGTCAATAAGAACATCAAGAAGATCATCTAAAAGATGGTCAAAACTTACAAAGATTGGCATGAAATGTTCCCCTTTACCCTTCATGGTTATCGAATGTCAGTACGGACCTCCACAGAAGCCACTCCATATTCTCTCGTATATGGTATGGAAGTCGTATTTCTAATAGAGGTCGAGATACCTTCCTTGCGAAGCATCATGGAAACATTATTGACGGAAGCTGAATGGGTCCAAAGTTGATATGACCAGTTGAATTTGATTGAAGAAAAGCGGTTGGACGCCATATGTCATGGACAAGCCTATCAAAAGAAAATTAAAAGGGCTTATGACAAAAAGGTCAATCCCCATACTTATCACGAGGGGAATTTAGTGATAAAAATTTCCATAAGAGCAATGGATATCTTAGTCGAAAACCGAAAGGCGGCTAAGATGACATCCTTCCAGAAGTAGGAAAGCTTTGCATAGTCTTTACTCTGGGCTCGAACATCTCAACTAAAGCAACTAGGAAAACCAGGGGGCAGATATCACAAACTTGATTGTTAAAGCCTAAACAATGTAGCCAACCTTGGCCAGCCATTCTTCTAAAAACAATTGTAATCCTTCTGTAAAATAATAAACCTTTTGTTCATACATATCAATAAAATCCTCTTTTCATTTCCTTTCTCTTGACCAATCTATGAAAATTCCTCTCTATTGATAAATTATAAATGTTCAAATTGTCAAGATCATATCATGAAAGAAAAAGAATAATGCCTGCCAGGATATTCTTAGGCAAAAGTTAGGGCAGCTTGCTAGATCGAAAATCCACAAAGGGCGGTCTAGGAAAAAGTTAAGGCAATCATAAAAAAGGAAAAAGACCGCTAAGATATCCTAGAAAAAAATTAGGACAACCCGCTAGACCGAAAACCCCAAAAGCGCGATCTAGGCAAAAGATAGGGCTAAATAAAAAAATAACAAAAAAAGGAGCCCATTGGCATGATCATAAGAGTCCAATAGGAGAATCCAGTCACTTTTCTAGATGCACCTCATAAAGGAATAGAATGCATGTAGGGCATCCACACAAGTAATTGCACAAAATGACTTTGTCAAAATCAAAAATAAAAATCTCTTCAAACAAATAAACAAAAAAATAATATTCATGCATATAAGGAGACTAGGCTCCATGATTGTGTTTGAAAACAGGAAGCACCCAAAACAAATCTCCAAATAATGCTCTCCCTCCAAAAAATCGAGCAAGTTACCACCAATAAAGTGATTAAAGAAAAATAAAAGCTTCCAAAGTTCCAAGCCACTATCTTTCCATATAAGAAAGAAAACGTACATTGACAAAGAAAAAGCCGACGGAAAGACTTAGTCATCTCCAAGTGGATCTTTGCCTACTCCGAAGGCAAAACAAAAATATTACCTTAAGACTCAGTATCGTCGCCACATGAGTTAGCAAGCACACTTAACAAAAAGGGATTCAAGAGAAGAAAACCCTTCATCCCCAGCGGATGCCAAAAAAGAGAAGACCAATAAATTCCCCAAGTGGGTCACGTT